CTTTTTACAATGAAAGTAATGGTATAAATGATGTCGACTACTTTAAGAACTGAGTTTTATAACTGTACAGAACTCAGAAGTTATCACTTGGCAGAAATGCGGTTCTCATTGTGTGATAAACTCGTATTTTTTAACAATCATAAAAATATAACATGAATTTTGACTATTGACTAGGAATATTATATGTACAAACTATATATACGTCAAATTATATATATGGTTATTATTATAATTATTTATACTTAAGTACGTTCTATAATATTACGTGATAAAGAGTACGAATGACATATACAGGGTGTCCAATTTTAATCCATAAATCAGCAAATTATTTATAAACTGTTTGCTGAATGGAAAAATGTTTCAGATAAGGAATAAATGATTCTGGGAGTAGTATAAAATGGCACAATTGTTTTTCCGGCAGGTGAGCGAGTATAGGTTATATGAAGATCAACTTCGGTTTTTTAAATGGAGATATATATATTTAAATGCACTGTCCGATTCAGTTCCTCGTTCCCCATAAAAAGAGTATTATCCAGTTATGTGAAAATAAGTAGTGTAGGAAATATTTCAATCTCAATATTCGGATGAAGAAAAAGACGAAGAAAGCAAATACGCAGTAAAGATTTTACTTTCCGTAATTTTCATCTGAGCTTTCTGCAAAATAGCACCATTGCTGAGATCCTTCCGATTAAAATGAGTCCAAACACCACATAAATCGGTCTAGTTTGTTGTTATTACGTATCACTTTGCTACCAACATCAAATTAATCCTTATAACTAAAATGAGGTTAATTTATATCATTTTTGGACTCATTTAACCAAAAGAATACGAATGATGTATTAGTACTACTTTTACTAAAATGATATAAAAAATTAGGAAAGATAAAGTTTTCCTAACCCAAAATGTCGCTACTCGACATACTATACCTATCTTGTTTCCCCTCATTGTATCTCTTCTCCTTCTTTGCCAACCAAAGTTCGAGTTTATCCCTAGGAAAAACCCTAAAAATCCCTACCTTATTCGGAATAATTCAACTGCTGACTTGATTTTGGTTAAATTTAATCTATATGATATACAATGTGATTAGTCACTGTTGGTACAATTGGACGAAAGAAGAATCTGCACGAAGAATCAAGTTAAAAATGTAGAATGACATTTTTTTTCTTATGACGTTTCATTTTCGAAAAAATAATTGATTAATCGTCCGAATATCGTTTGTACTCGTCAGTAGAAATCTGATCGAGAAGTGTCAAGCTGCACGATCGAGCTGTTTCTTTTTCTATTTCTGCAGTTCTGCTAAATATAACTAGTATTGAGTGTTGTCCTCTTGCAGTTCAGAGTTTGTGATAAAATTGTAAGTAAAATAAAATTTACGTTGCCAATCAAAAGAAGTTGGTATACAAAATTTAATATAAAATTTATTGACATGTCGTCAAATGCATATTGTTTGTATAGAGTATTTGAAAATTAATTGTCACCGCCATTACAGCAAAGATTCGTTAAAAAATGTAGCCATAAAGTTGTCCTTGAGTATAAATTTCAAGGTCATATCTTTTTTCGTTTTATCGTATTTTACGCGTCATCAGGAGAAAATGTCTAAATGGGACAATAGGTCACAAATATTGTTTCCTCGAAAAATTGTCGTTAAAGAGGTTTAGTCAATTCATGTAACGAGCAAGATGCATATAATAAATAAAATTTAGATGGAACACCAGATTCGATGTGGACTCGTTACATGTATCGACTAAACCGCTTAACACAAGATTATTGACCAAGTGGACACCTAATGCGTCTCCATGTAATCAATCGAAATACTTACAATCAATTTTTTTAAAACGTTAATCTGCATATCAGATTCGTGATTAACGACCTTGAGAAACCTTATAAGGCACTTGTACGAAGTTTTCTAATGTTTTTGTAGTATTTAATGTTTATTTTTAATGTTTATTTACATGTGTATTTAATGTTTAACTACATTTTGCACGTTTAGCACATTGTGCGATGTTTCCTAGAAAATATAATTTTACTTGAATTAATTTTATATTCCTATTATGTTGTTATTATGTTACTGTTACGGGTACAAAAAAAAATTCTTTTTATTGCAACGAAAAATGACTCAAATACAACTTTTGGAAGAATAAAATTGTATTTCTAAAGAAAGTACAGAAAGCATATATGGGAATGCTGCTACAAGTATTTCGAACATGATTTATTTAAATACGAAACTATTTAACAAATATTTTAATTATACCAATTGCTATTTGGAATATTAGGTAAGTGTTTGTGTCGATTTGGTAGAAAGTAACTTTATCAGTCTTTTTCTTCGTGGCATCTCTTAGTGCCATCTTACAGCGGAAATGAGAAACTAAAGTAGATTTGGCGTTTAACATGTTAACCGTCATATAAGATGTTTGTAAATATTAGGATTATTAGATTACGTTTTTAGGATTTTATTAAAATTTGAGTTGAATTACGAATTATTAAAAGTGACGTGTTTATTAAACAAACGTAATAAGAGATAATTACAGTGAATATGTATTGTTATACTTCCATTTCATATAGATATTAGTGTCACGGTATTTTAACATTAGAACTCACAATCTATAATGAGTAGCTAATCTAAATGTGTATATACAAATGATAATTGTAATGATATGTCAAAGATAAATAACTATATACAGAGTGATCCATGCATCATGTACACCTTTATAACTTCCACAATATGCATTTTATACAAAAATGTTGTATACAAAGGTTGCATGTGTATACTATGTAATGTATTTATTTTTGTTACAAGTGGAAGCATTTCAGAGATTTGAAGGTTAACTTTATTTTTTTTTAAACGGAATGCTATATTTTTTGTATCAAAATAGGAAAGAATATGTAATTCTGAGTAAAAAAGTATTAACATTTATTAGCTCTAAACATAAAAGTTAGCGAGTAATTTAATTTTGTTTCTTGAAAGATTTTTTCCTTTTTTTATTGAAAATTTCTTGAAAATATAATAAAAAAAAATAACATATTGTAATACTATTAATATAAAATTGTAATATAAACATTGTCACATAAATATTTCGCTGTTCTGCGGAAATCTGTGATAAGATAAGGTTGAATCTCTAACTTAATATGCGAAGAAAATTTCATCTATATATAGACGATTGGACAGTTAAAATATCTGTAGAGAAAGAAGCATGATAATTTGAAAGAATGGATGAGAAAATTTGAATGTGGTAAGCAGTCCGACATTGCATTGGTTAAGGTCTTCTACAAATCTGGCTCAAAAAATTAATTTTTCTTTTTGTATGTTTTAAAGTATATATTTTCAAAAATATATGTACAAAATTGTTTGATAAAATTCGCATAAAATTAGTAAAGTTATAAAAATCCAAATACGAACACATCAAGTGAGAAACTGCGAAGTAAAGGAGGCATCAACGACATTATTATTTTGATTACTCACGGTTATTGTATTTTAAATTCTTTTCCGATTTTCCATTCATACTATAATTGTTTCATTAATAATTTACAAAAATTTTATACTTTAATCTTCCAAAATAGCAGATTGATTAAGTATAAGGAGGTTACGTGTAAGTGCTACATTGAACTGACTGACGATATCTCAAATTATAATTGATTGATCAATTTTAAATTTGAGCCAAATATTTAGAAGATATGCCTTTATCGTCAGAAATACGGATTTTAAGATTCAACGTATTTTTATATTTTTTTTCTAACTTGAAAGTCAGAAAATGTAGGAGGAGATAGGCATTTAAACTTCAAAGTGTTATCATTTTTTAAATTTAAAGATTTTTGGAAGACCAATGGCTGCGTGGCAGTAAAACACACGTTGCAAGTGTATATTTTACTGTTCTGTCAACATAGAAGATCATTCCGACATTTCCTTTAAATGATTTCTTCTTGAGAAAAGTCTATAGAATATGATACCATATAGCAAATTCATGTTGGATAAAGAACTGTTTGTGAAAATGTAAAAATAGTGCGCAAAAGTATGCTGGGTGGCTTACTTTTATACTTTGATGGCCAATTGAAATTATTCACAAGCATAAATAATTATAATTATGGATATCAATAAACTCGGGAAACTCTCGTCTAACTTTTAAGATAAGAATGAGCATCCTAACATTTTTAGTTTTCGTGTAATCTTTCATTTTAGCCAAAAATCGGGCGTTTTTTGAAGACTGAGGGTTATGGAGAAATTTCGTTTATGGATTCGTATTTAGAGAGATCAGTTCTATAAGAGTTACCAAATGAATATTACAAGATTAAGAAAAAGTTAAAATTTGTTGCACAGTGTAATTGAAAGAAAGATGTGATTTGCTTATCACTATAAGTCTTTCTGAATAATATTATGTTATTTTTTAATAAATAAAATAACTGATAATGAATTTTTGCTGTATTTGAACCTATTTTCTCAAAATTGAAAAGGGTAAATTTAATGAAATTGTTTGTGGATCTTTAAAATATTAGTAAATTTAATGAATATAAGAATTTGGAAAATAATTTTTGAATTATTTACATATTATATAATTGTTTTTACAAGGTATTTACAAAAAATCATGAATTGAACTCATTTAGCTAGTAGTAGAGTGCTCAGTTAAAATTTGATTAAAGATGATATATACATATATTGTTATTGTATATAATTATTTCAGTGATTCGAGAGAAAATAAGTCACAAAGCTTTCCTAAAGATAAGATTTGATTGTGAATCCTTTTAATTAAAATTTGATGTAACTGTTAATCCTTTCACGAGCAAGCGTTTTAAGGCAGCCTTAAGATAATTTTCCATTTAACTCACTAGCGCCACCACGGTCCATATCTCCAATAAATGTAATGTAAATATTGTATATGTCGTTGAATTATTTTCTAATTTTACTGATATAGTCTTGGAATTTTCTTCTTACTATGTGTGCCGTATTGTTTGCAAAATATTGTTGACACAGATTTTTCGTGAAAAGGTTAAAGTTATTAAATATTTACCTTCTGACTAGAGAAGGTCGTCTAGGAGCATCAGTGTGGGTTGTGAGTTTGGAATTCACAGTTTCAGTCTCCATCGTTTTATCGTCATTGACTTGTATTAATGTTGAAAGATCGACCGTGTTATTTTTTGTTGGAAGCTCTGTATGTTTCTCCTCTTGCTTTCTAACCTTTCCTTCATCAGAAACTTGTCCACCTTCGAAGGAATCCTTCGCCTGACGATCCTCGATTTCCTTTGCCAACCAGGTATTTTCCTACGGTAAGGGGTACATCTATGAATCGGAAAATTATTCCTTAATGAATGTAGAAGTACTATCACGTTGCTATATTATTATTTTGTTTTCCTGTTTTGATCCTATTTTATAAATTCTTTTTTGTAATTCTTATTATTCTTTAGACTTTATTCTAAATTTACGTTTACTATGTTTAACAAGTGAGATATATACAAATTGAAGATTATACTGATACTGAACTTAGATTATATCAGAACACAAGGGTATATACAGTATATACACATAGTACATACAATATACGTACTACAATATGTACAGTTAGTACGTTTATTGACCATGGTGGTGTTAGTGTATTCAATGAAAAATCGTATTCGGGCTGGTATAACAATGAAGGATAATTCAGTATTGTATTAAAACTTTTTATTTTGCAATTAATTCATTATTAATAAATTAATTTTTCAATTAATCCTCCCCATTAATATAATATCATATATTGCATTCGAATACCTTTGTTAGCCAACAAGAATGTATGCTTGTAATAAATATACTGCAAATATTGTATACATCGTTGAATTATTCTCCAATTATTTTATTGATATAATTTTGAGATTTTCCTTTTGCTATATATATATATTATGTTGTTCCGACCGATTTAATGTACATATTTTACTTATTCAAAACAGTAAATGTAAATGTCTGAATACTTTCTCATATGAGTGTACTTTGACAAAATGTTACATGTCATTCGTAAAATATATACATTTATGTACATTTATTTTAATCCCTTCGCTAGAAATATTTAACTGTGTCAAGGTACGAGTAAAGATATTATTTACAAAGATTATACGATTACAAGAAACACAATTTTGTATCAATAGTTTCGTTACATGTGAAAGCATCGAGGAAATCTAGAAGTAAATTTCGTTTTTTTAGTTAAAATGTCCAGTTTTCTATGGTTAAATTCGACAGAAGGGCGAATTCTGAGTATAAAAGAACTACCATATAATACTGTACAAAGCTCAGAATTTAAAGAAGAGGTTGTAAGGCTCGAATTGCTCGATCTCGCCTATTTACAAACCGCGGAACGATTTGATCTAAGCGAAATTAATCACCTTCGCCGTTTGCAAATGAACAAATCGTACAATTATACGTGATTTAAATTGTATTCACTGCTCTAATTTTTGCCGTGTTTTACAAGTTCAGTAACGTATCGTGAGATGTCGTGATCGACGTTCGAAACACGGTTCTGTAATTCTACTGTCTGGAGATGGAACGCGGATTTTTAATATCCAGAAAGAATTCGAATTAGTGAAATACTAGTGGAGGTGTGGAATGTGTAGATTACTATCGGTTAAGAAAGTCTATGGAAGATGAATTTTCGAAGATCGAATTAGCATGAGAAATTATTGATACGGATTTTTGAGATCTGAGAGATGTTCTCTTAGGAGAAATTCGTACCCTTGTCCTAGATATTGTGCAGGCCACAAGGTATCGATATGTTAGACAAAGCTTATCAAATTTTTGAATAGTCTGTACTAGGACCTCGGGAAATGGTTTTGTGGCTGATATATCGACACGTCTGGGATTAAATACTTACATTTGCATGCTCGACAGCAGATGCCGAGATAGTGATAGAATCAGTTATATACGTCGATATGTTATTTATCTTATGTTAGTTGACATAAATAGTTAATATTGATCCTGTGTATCACTATCCCATCTGGTCTCAATATAAACTATTCGTTCTCTTTGTAATATAATACTATAAAACTCGATTCGTATATGTGTTATTTCATGTATAGAAAATTTGTGTGCCCTATCTGTACGATACGTTTATTCCAAAATTCGCAGTTCTGGAGAGATTCGATATTTTTTATTCCGTTCAAATCGATACAAATAGTAGATAACAAAGTATTATAAAATAGCATTAGCATATCTGAGTAGAATAAAAATTTCAGTATGTAAATTAATAGAGAAAGACGATCATTTAGTGAATAAAATTTTGCACATCTTTTCTTATAATCGTTATATTCGTTATTCAGTATCTCAGAAGGAATATCACTGACAATAGCAAAGGATAAAATATAATATAATTATAATATTTTATTATTACAATTATCTGTACTTTTCCGCTGCTAAATCGCAGAAATGTTTAGATATCTTGAGTTTCATTTCACAAGTACACTTTTTTTGTAATTATAGTAGTTTCGTTATATTAATCCATAAATGATGTATTTTCAAACAAAGAAAAAGTCAAAATGTTCCTTTTTGTCTCATTATTTCATTCATCTATTTCACTCATAAAGTCTTTGTTGACTGAGCGGATAATTTTGTGACTCACTGTACGTCATTAGTCAAGAGTGGATCGTTAAAGAGCGAAGAGTTCTATTGTCAAGTATTGCATGATTACATACTTGACAGGTTCCGAGGAAAACTCCTTGTTGAATGTGGACAGCAACTGTCATCTATAGAATAGTTTCGTGATTGATAAGTACTGTGTAGAACTCAAGAGTTTGCCCCTGGAGAGAATACAGGTCATGCTATAATACTACCTCCTTTCACACAGTCCTATGAAAGATTACACGGTCGCGAATTTTCGTTATTGACTGAAACTGTCGCGTCTACAAATTTATTTATTTATTTAACAGGACAAACTCTATATTATTCAGTGAAAATACAACAACTGTTAAAGAAAGAGAGAGCGAGAGAGAGAGAAAGATGCAGAGATGCAATAAATATGCTAGCCCACAACGAGTGACGGACGTTGAATGATTATAGTCACCGGTAGTACGCAATAAGCGTCAGAGATTGGGTGATTATAATCACCGTTACTATCAAAAGGGTTAATGAATTTCGAAAAGGTATAGATTAAGGTTAATCACTTGTTTCTGCCATTGAACATGTTTATTCTAATAATACGACCTGACCAATTTTACGACTTCGTTAAATCGTAGTCATTGTTATAAATATACGTCGTATAATTGTGTTATATGAATTATTCCAATAATACAGTGGGTAAAAAAGATATTGACACACAGTTTACAAGAAAATATGCCTAATCGGTAGACTCTGATTTGAACCCTTTAATTTGAATTTTGGAACTTGCATTGGAATTTGAATTTGAATTTAATTTGGAACTCTATGGGTATGTGTATCATAACAGATTATACAATACACGCAACAAGCTCTTTTTTCACCTAATAGCCTAAACAGATGAAATCAGTAATTGAATTTTCAGTGCCACATGCTAACACAAAATACAACGAATCTTTTTATATGAAAAATGTTTAATTTTTAATGCGCTACTTCCCTGTCACGAACAAAATTTCGAAGAAAGTTATAATCAAAGCATGAAAGAATACTGAAACTTTGAGGGTCTATTTGACTCCCTTCAATAGATTTCACGTACAACTCATTATATTTTCCATGTACACAAACTTTGATTAAATTTGAAACATTTTACGTGAATTTTCTTGTAATATAGCGTGCTAATACCTCTTTTACCAACTGTATATCCAATTACACGATACGTATGTTCGAGTATCAGCTTTTCTATGGTCATAAGCACAACTGGAAAAACGAAGAACTTCCAAAAATTATATTTAGGAAACTATAGGGTAAATCCTGTTTAAAATTGACATATACATGTATTTAAATCGATATACCTATCGATATGTACCTATACACGTATTGATTAGCTATATCTTCAATTAAAGCTTCAATAAAATCCCTGTTATCGTCATTTTTTCATTTTCGATACCTTACCATATGATCACCATCAATTCACCATACGTATATGGGTGACAATCGCAATAGTTTATTTTGCATGATCTAACTCATTATTTAGGAAATAGCATAGAATATACTAATAGTAGAGAATGTAGTAAGAATAGAATATAGAATATACTAATGTACAGAATATGCTAATTGTAAGATTCATAAATCATAATCTGAACAATATTATAATCTATTGTTATATATAGTTTACAAAAATATTATTTTTAACACCATGCCGTCCGCACGTCTAATCTGGGTTCTTTTGTGTGACGTTGGTAGGACTGACTCAGATCATTTTGGAGCCTAGAGAGGTCCTTTCGAGGACCTCGGGAGATCATAAATCGTCAAATTTTACTAATCCCATCGTCAGTTCTCGTGAGTTCTCAATCCTGTCCCTCTATTTTCTCGAAATTTTGAGGATATATAGTCAAACCTGTTTTTGAACAGCATTTGCTCGATAGTTTTGCGCATGATACCAACGTTTTGTCACCGGCATTTGCCCGATAGTTCCCTCATGACACCAACGTAGTGCCACCGGACGGCATAGTGTTGATGTATACAGTTTTAATGAAAACACTATTGAAAATTTTTGCATTCAGTTTTGAGCTTCTTGAGCTTAAAAACTTGAAGTGAGATAACAAAACCTGCGAACATCACAGTTTTAATTATTTAAGAATCCAAACTAATCATGACCACCTGGAACTTTATTTTAAATTTTGGTTTGGCGAGCAAAGTGTTATGCAAAATCATAAATTCTGCATGAATCTTTGTAGCGAATTAAATTCTGTGTTTGGATATTTGTGCTTCTTTGTGTGATCGATAATACACAATCACTATCTTTTGACGAGATTGAAACCGAGAATGAAGGATGACGAATTATTTATGATAAGCTTGCCTGGTCTAGAATTTTAAAACAATCGATTTTTCTTTTCCCTTCTTGACTCTTTGACGTCTGGAGAATATATAGTTAACAAAGTACACTGTATAGTCAAGTCTCCTATAACGTGGTGTTTTTGTAACACGATTTCCATATAACGTCGAGCGAAAATTGCAACAGCTTTGCTATAACGCGATCTTCTTATAACGCATTTTTCAGCCAATTAGAGAAAGAAGGGCGAATATTTGACAGTGATGATAAATAATAAAACAATCTAACTGTGGTATCCCCGATGTATGAACTACATGATGAGAATAGTCTGAATCCTGATCAGACTGAAGCGGTTTCATAAGAGTGTTTGAGAATA